CATCAACTTTACCTACTGTTATATGGAATATTTAAGTAACACTGTCACCATCAACTTTACCTACTGTAATATGGAATATTTAAGTATCACTGTCACCATCAACTTTACAGACAGTCACATGGACGCCAGCTACTGCCAAAGACCCAGAAGAGGGAAATTTACAGTAAGATGTGTTCTAATCTTTACGAATTGACACTAATACAAGATACCTAAATAAATTGATCTGCAATATTTAGCTAATATCATATACAACATTATATTTACTTTGTCGTATATACGAAGTATAGAGAAAGTCTTGTAATCGTGCAAAAAAATAATCGACATTTTTGCAAATCTCGGGCAAGTGTTCATTCGGGCATTTGTCGCATTCGGGCAAGCGTCTTTCAGGACTTTGTCGTAGACCCGTTCGTACACCAGAAACCAAACACTAATATCCAATGTTATGTTTTCATACAGCACCCACCAAACGACCAGCCACGCCCCCGGAAGTGAACTGCCAGAGGGTAGGTACACAGTGACGTATGTAGCCAAGGATTCTCACACCGCCGTCTACTGCAGCTTCACAATAAGCGTCAAAGGTGAGAGGTCATAAGTCAGTTAAGGCGTGCTGTCTCACAGGTACAAGGGATGTGAGATGGTCATTTTAACAGTGTGTAAGCTGTGAGCGAAAGTGACCTGTCAGAGTGACATGTGCAGTCTGATAGGTAAGGTGACTAAATATGTAGTTTGACAAGTGGGACACGACCTATTAAAAGTTTATAGTTTACCCATCATGTCACACGACCACCCATAATTTGATCAAAAAAGTTGTGTTGTAAATGGTGTCAAATTGTGTATATTACATTATATAGGGGTAGCCCTCTGATTTAACTAACGATACCTCTAACAAGTGATCACACGAATACCAATGATGCATTATAAAAACACTCATATTAACTAGCGGGTAATGATATAATACATTAAAGTATGTACTATGCAGAGCGTATAAGCACATACGTTGTTAATTCCAAAAGCTCTGATATACTTATAAAATACCTTCATGTGTCCCCCTTATTTTACCAGTACACAGATGTCCGACTACCGTCAACTCATCCAGCGTGTTCTACATCCGCAACGGTAAAACCAGTTGTTCCAGCCACGACGTCTACGGCAGCGTCTGCTCCTACACGTGTGATGAGCACTACCAGCTACAGGGCTACCATAAGATAGAATGTCTGTATGACAGGACATGGAGTGAACCAAAGCCAGCTTGTGTCCGTAAGCAAGTCTCTGCTTCCTTTGTGTACAACTGTTTTGTATAGTCAATGGTAGAAATATACATATATATATATATATATATATATATATATATATATATATATATATATATATATATATATATATATATATATATATATATATATATATACGTACATAATGTGTTTGTACATACATATATTGATGTGCATGTGTGTTTATATTGATAGATAGTAATGGCGGAACAGTTCCGATATTTTCTTTACTAACCTTAATCTGTAAATATGACTGTATACTACAAACTAAACTAAGCCTTAAGCCCCCGACCTCAGTGCGTCTACGATTTCCTAAGCATATGTACTCGATATATTAGTATAAATGCATTCTGGTGTCATATTGGTAATATGAGCTACACATACGACTTAACGTTAAGATAAATGACTATAATCAGTCTGTTATTTCGTAATTTAAATACGAAAATTACTCCAAATTAACAGTCGAAAAAACGTTAAAAATTAGCGCTGTTCATTCTCCGACAAAAACATTTTCATTGCACAATTTCGTGATATTTTGAAACATTTCAATGTGATATATGTATACTACAATCGTATCAATAGTTAACAACAAGTAAAAGTAAAGAAGAAAAAAGTGATTCACTTGAATTAAAACACTATTGGACAGGACACTGCTGTATCTATGTTTCAATTAATCTAAAAGAGCCTGATCTGTATTGTCTATGTTCAAATAGCTCTAAATGTACCCTAGTCACTGTCGATATGTTTAAAAACAAATCTCTCTCCAGCCTATTCCAAATGTTCAGCCCCAGCTACTGTTCCCTACGGCTACTACGAGATGTGTGACGCCCATGAGATTGACGCCGTTTGTGTCCTGGTCTGTAGGTCTGGGTTTAGGGTGGAGGGGTCAAAGGTCATTGTGTGTCAGGTGGATGGGACGTGGACCAAAGGTGGATCTTGTATAGGTATGTTGTCAATAGGTCCGGTATATTAGAATATTTTGTGTGTGGCATGTTGGTCATAGTATTTATTGTTAGAGTTTTAAATTATTATTTATTTGTCTAATGGGTGAGTAGAGGTTGGTATAATTGCTCTTAAATGTTGTGTTATATATGCAATATGTAAATTAAAATTTAAGAAGTACAATTTAACAAAAATAACAACATAAAAACAAGCATTGTGTAGAAAGTAACCAGGGCTGGGAAAACTACCATAGTTGTTTTTAATATCACGTGATAGATCATTCTTGTTTCTGATATCATTCAAAGTAGGCCTACTAGTTAAACAATGTAATTTCCTTTGGTGCCCGTACAACTAGTCCACATTTTTCTACTAGCAATTAATTTTATTATTGTATTACTTGAGTGTTGGTGTTGTGTTAGTGTTGTGTTAGTGTTGTGTTTGTGTTGTGTTTGTGATGTATTAGTGTTGTGTTTGTGTTGTGTTATTGTTGTGTTAGTATAGTGTTTGTGTTGTGTTGTGTTTGTGTTGTGTTTGTGTTGTATTAGTGTTGTGTTAGTGTAGTGTTAAAAAAGTTGCACTATCGTATCCTATTGTATTAATTTTTTTGTTCTGAACTATCGTTTATTTTCCTTTGTCTAGTCGATCTATATATACTTAGACCAAAATCTTGTAATTATTTCACCAGATATAGAACCCCCAACACTGACTTGCCCTCCCAATATCTTCACCTACTCCAACCCTAAACGACAACCCGTTGCCGTCACGTGGACACAACCCCAGGCAGACGACAACTCCGGACAGGTCAGCGTGACCAGCAGCCACACGTCTGGTCAGCTGTTTGCTGTCGGTCAGACAGTGGTCAGTTTTGTAGCCACAGATGCCGCTGGTAATCAGGCGAATTGCTCCACGGTTGTTACTGTTGCAGGTTAGTTTATACAGAATTTATTTCAGGCAAATCTTCTGGGGGGGGGGGGGAGGCAGTACCATAAACACGTCTACCTACCCACCCCAAAAATGAAATAGAAAAAATATGTTGATTACATAGAAAACATAAACTTAAACCTGTCACGGCCTTTTCTGCTGCCAATCATGGCACAAGCTCAAAAAAACAAATACCAACCGTTCTCCTCTCTCCTCCTTTGTTATTACATATTATAGTCTAATTTATAACACTAAACAACCCACGTTCAGGAAATTTTCATCATTTTATTGGTTCATTGACACAACGACTTCACTGCCAAAACATCGCCATTTTCTTCCCGCTCTCTACCCCCTTGCTTCCTTTTTTTAGCGCATGCGCACACCAACACTATATTTTAGATTTATATCGCCTTTTTTTTACTTTCTCGTATATACGAAGTATAGAGAAAGTCTTGTAATCGTGCAAAAAAAAAATCGAGATTTTTACAAATCTCGACGTTTTGCACCTCACTGATACGGAAAAACATAATTTTGCAATCTTTTCCGTCTGTCTGTCTGTCTGTCTGTCTGTCTGTCTGTCTGTCTGTCTGTCTGTCTGTCTGTCTGTCTGTCTGTCTGTCTGTCTGTCTGTCTGTCTGTCTGTCTGTCTGTCTGTCTGTCTGTCTGTCTGTCTGTCTGTCTGTCTGTCTGTCTGTCTGTCTGTCTGTCTGTCTGTCTGTCTGTCTGTCTGTCTGTCTGTCTGTCTGTCTGTCTGTCTGTCTGTCTGTCTGTCTGTCTGTCTGTCTGTCTGTCTGTCTGTCTGTCTGTCTGTCTGTCTGTCTGTCTGTCTGTCTGTCTGTCTGTCTGTCTGTCTGTCTGTCTGTCTGTCTGTCTGTCTGTCTGTCTGTCTGTCTGTCTGTCTGTCTGTCTGTCTGTCTGTCTGTCTGTCTGTCTGTCTGTCTGTCTGTCTGTCTGTCTGTCTGTCTGTCTGTCTGTCTGTCTGTCTGTCTGTCTGTCTGTCTGTCTGTCTGTCTGTCTGTCTGTCTGTCTGTCTGTCTGTCTGTCTGTCTGTCTGTCTGTCTGTCTGTCTGTCTGTCTGTCTGTCTGGTCTGTCCGTCCGTCCGTCCGTCCGTCCGTCCGTCCGTCCGTCCGTCCGTCCGTCCGTCCGTCCGTCTGTCTGTCTGTCTGTCTGTCTGTCTGTCTGTCTGTCTGTCTGTCTGTGTGTCCGTGTGTAAACACGATTACTTGAGTACCGTTACAGCTAGGTTGATGAAATTTCAAATATAAGTATTTTATAAAAATCGTAGATCCGTATCAACTTTTGAGCGATTTCCGATAACTGGAAGTGGTACTTTTCCTACTTTGAATTTTTCAAAAGCCTATAACTTGAGTACTATTTCAGTTAGATAAATAAAATTTCACATGTAAATAAAAGATCTAATTCTCTACCTTCTGTTAAATTTTGAGTAATTTCCGTTGACCGGAAGTAGTAATTTACGCTACTTCCGATTTCTCAAAAAACTAATGTAAATTTTAAAAGTACTAATAATATTGCGCACTATTATGCGCTTTTTTATTTGGCGTTCACTTGGTGTGCAATTAATTTGTCTACGAGATTTTATTCTATTTTTAAAACTTTAAGTATGTAAAATGGATTAAAAATCATGTCTATAGCCCGAGTTCCCATCCCCTGTTATTTTATATAAGAATATTCGAGAAAGTTTAGGGGAGATCACTCCCGGTTTATTATGAAACATACTCGAAACATGCATTCACCTTACATTTGACCGTTACAAAACCATTGCGTGACTTAGAGGAAATAATTAGACTTAACCTCTCCACTCCCCAGTACGAAACTGTCCAGACCTGCTAACACCAGGTGACGGAAACACTACCTGCAGTCATGACTCAGCTGAGGGCTCCGACTGTTACGTCACGTGTCGTCCAGGCTTCCGGTTGGAGGGGTCAGCATTGTTGACATGTCAGGCTGACCTAGCATGGAGTGACTCCCCTCCCTCATGCTCGCGTAAGGTTTACTTAAATAAAAATTATCGCAAGTAACTACACATTCATACATTTCATGTGGAAACATTTTACTCTTCTGTGATCAAGGCTGAATAAAATAGCAATAGCACCCAGCAGAGCTTAACTGTTTCTTAACTTTATTTTAGCACATTTCATAAACTTACAGGGTCTACATTAGCAAATAACTTTGTTAGGATTTACTTTTAGAACTTATATCCCTTACATAAATAAATTGTGAAATATTTTGATAGTATTCTTATGAACTACACTCTACCACATATAACTACATTTTATTATGCGTAATAAAATTGAACACACTACATGGAGTATTATTCCCTTAATGTGGGTAATTTTAAGCGTAAACGTCCTTGACTTTCCTACGTTTTGCACAGGTTTGTCGTGCACCGCCCCATCCCCGCCCGCCAACGGCAACTTGACCTGTTCTGGTGGGTTCCTGTTTGAGGCTGTCTGCTCTCTCACGTGTGACCCCGGCTACGTCATCGACGGCTCATCGACCGTCGTCTGCCAGTGGAGCCTTACCTGGACCCCCAGTGGCACTTGCTTAGGTAGCTATTTATAGCACAGTTATGTAACACCTTACCTTGACCCCTCATGGAACTTGCTTAAGTAGCTATTTATAGACACTGATGTAACACCTTACCTTGACACCCAGTTGAACTTGCTTAGGTAGCTATTTATAGAACAGTTATGTAACACCCTACCTTGACCCCCCATGGGACTCGCTTAAGTAGCTATTTATAGACACTGATGTAACACCTTACCTTGACACCCAGTGGAACTTGCTTAGGTAGCTGCTTATAGCACAGTTATGTAAGTACTTACCTGGAACCCGAATGGAACTTGTTTATGTAGCTATTTATAGACTGTTCTGTAACACCTTACTTAGACCCCCAGGGTAACTTGCAATGAAAGTCTCGGTGGTAGTTCATCCTGGGACCAGATTGCATATTCCGTCCATAATTCTACCATAACCATAAGAGTGCCAAATTATTCGGTATCATTTATGAAATTACCCTATATTTCTCAGTAAACGTTTCATGAACTTCTGTAAACAACTTAATCCCGCAGATAATGAACCTCCTGTGTTCACTGTGTGTCCGGATGTGACGTCATTCGCCGCAGAGCTTGGCAAGGACACCTACGTCGACTTTAAATTGCCAGAGGCCATCGACAACTCCAACACGCAGGTTGACGTCAGCACTGACCCCACCCCCAGGACAAAATTCCTGATTGGATCAACCAACGTCACAGCCAGAGCTGTAGATGCTGCGGGGAATGTCGCCACCAAGAATTTTACAGTAACTGTCAAAGGTAATTGCAGTGGCGTCGCGAGGTCGGGTGTCACCCGGTGCGGCACTTAATGGTGTTGTAATTTTTAAGACTTTTAGTTCTAAAGTATCTATAGTAAATGGGTCTTTGAATTAAAAGAAAAGAAATACTAAAGTATATAGCGCACACGCTATGTTTACAGAGCTAGAATGTTCCAACCCCACAACGGCCAACCTAGACGAGAGTGGCCTTGACCTCATGGAGTTTGCCTGCCCCCAGGGTTTTGTCTACGGGGCGTCATGTGGTGTGTCCTGTACCCACGGGCACCCTGTGGGGGGACCATCCAGCATCCGCTGTGAGAGGAACCTCACTGAGCTGGGATCTGCTTATTGGTGGTATGGGATAACCAAGCCTTTCTGTGATGGTACGTATGCAGGTTTTTATTATACACGTTCATTAACAACAAAACCCAGCATCTATCCGGCGTCGACTTTATTGCTGGAAAATGTAGAGCTAAATACAGCTCTTTAGAATTCTCTGTTTTTTGGTTATTTCATGTTTTGGTTTCCCATTTGATCCATCTTAAGTATTGTCGTCTGGATACATAGGTAAGCTGTGTAGTGCACCGACACCCCCAACCTTCGGTGCGCTGGCTTGTGACGTGTTTGGTGGTCAGGAGGTGTGTACTGTGTTGTGCCACAAAGACTACACATTCCCTAAAGGAGATCTACAGAGCGGGACGTTCTTCTGTTCCAGACAGCTGGGTGTCTGGATGCCCAGAGAAATTAGTAGGAATCTGTGCATACGTGAGTTGGAATTGTTTACTTCATTTGTACGTGTGGTCACTTTATGTGTACGTTAGTTGTCAGTGGTCACTTAATGTGTACGTGTGGTCACTGGTCACTTTATGTGTACCTGAAGTTTCCGGATTTAAAAAATCTTGTTCTATTGTTTGCAATATGTATGTTAATGTAGCTGGTGTTGCGCTAAAGTTGTACAATCTTTAACCCTCCATTTAGCTGGTGTTGTAGCAGATGGCGTAGAGTTGATGCCAGCTTTGAATTACTACACCAACAACTGTACCGCGGACCATGAAGAGATCAAACAAAACTTCCTGCAAATGATCCAACAATCCCAGATCTTCCAGAGTGTCTGCACACAAGTCACGTGCAGTGTTGAGACGGTGAAAGTCACGTGCGGTCCTAGGGGGCGGGTCCTTGAGGAATCGACAGTTTACCCGTTCTCACAGGATATGGGGAATAACTCACGCATGCTGGAACGGTTTCTGCGAAAACGTCAGGCTAGAGAAGCTAGCAACACACCCACACTGACTAGAGTAAGACAATATTGGCAAAATTTAGTACATTTTCTCATTGTCTTTCTTCTTTGTTCTTTATTGCAATATAAGAGACGATTTACGTCACACAAATGATGATAACTTGTGAAACATAATGTGCCAACTGGGCTGTAGATTCCGAATTAAGCCTGCTTTCCTTTATGTATTAGTTTCATTAACTTTTATTCACTGAAGAACAATTTACAATGCAGCAGTTGTTTGATTATAGAGTTGTCTCTCCTACATGGGTAGCTGAGCCGGCTAACTGGTCAAACCTACTCTGGTCCGAAACTCGGGACTTTTGTTGTTAGCAGTCATACACTATCAAGCCCGACCATGACGTCCACTTGATTTGTTTATAATAATATTATGGTGTAAATGAAGACATGATAATTACATATTATATAATTGTCTATGATGAAAAAATGTTTGCAAGACTTTAGATTTATTCTAAATACTTAAAATATAACAATCTTTTACATGCAATTCGTCTTTAAGATGTTTTCAACACGACATTCGCCAGAACAAATTTGTTTCAATCTCTCAGATCCAATTCGCCATAAAGATAGCCTATGTCCAGCAAGCTACAGCAGCTGCCACTAACACGTTTTATGACGAGCTGACCTTTGACCTGAATGTAGCACTGGACGACGCCGCGAATGCTGGGACCTTCAACATGCAAGAACTGGGGGGAGAGAGTCCAACCTTCGGGTTTGGCAACAGGAAAACCGTCTGCCCCGAGCCTACACTTTACCAGACACAGACGGCATTGTGTGGTAAGTTACGTGTGGTGTACATTACTGACGGCGGTGTGTGGTAAGTCTTATGTCGTATACTTTAGGGACGGCGGTGTGTGGTAAGTTAAATGTGGTGTACATTACTGACGGCGGTGTGTGGTAAGTCTTATGTGGTATACCTTAGTGACGGCGGTGTGTGGTAAGTCTTATGTGGTATACCTTAGTGACGGCGGTGTGTGGTAAGTCTTATGTGGTATACCTTAGGGACGGCGTTGTGTGGTAAGTCTTATGTGGTATACCTTAGGGACGGCGTTGTGTGGTAAGTCTTATGTGGTATACCTTAGGGACGGCGGTGTGTGGTAAGTCTTATGTGGTATACCTTAGGGACGGCGGTGTGTGGTAAGTCTTATGTGGTATACCTTACTGACGGCGTTGTGTGGTAAGTTAAGTGTGGTGTACCTTACAGACGGCGTTGTATGGTAAGTCTTATGTGGTATACCTTAGGGACGGCTTTATGTGGTAAGTCAACTATGGTGTACCTTACTGAGGGCGTTATGTGGTAGTCAAATATAGCATATGTCACAGACAGCAATATGCGTAAGTCAAATATGTTATACGTTACTGACGGCTATGTGCGTACGTCAGCTATGTTATACATCACCTAAGGCAATGTGCTTTGTGTTTACTGTTAACATTTACATGCCAATGCCAATTCTGTTTAAATGAGACACCTTAGTTCCATGCTAGTCCAAGACAGGATGCCTACAACATGCACCACAAGTAACTGTGTGGTCGGTGTAAACATTACATTTGATTGGCATTGCTCTTAAGACGTTATTCATTTACATTAAAAAAAAAACTATTTAATTTACATTAGTGTATTGCCTATAATGTAATCAATTTCTAATTATCAGTTGTTTTTTTTTTAACCTGTCGTCTAGGCAGAAACACTAAGCAAATTATATAACTGACTGCTAAAGCATATTATCCACTCAGTGGCGTAGCGAGGTCGGGTGTCACCCGTGCGGCACTGAATGGTGTTACCCCCCAGAGGCGTAGCGACCATTCCCGGGGACAAACTTTCAAATAATTGATTTGCACCTCCCTCTCAAGTTTTTCCCTGTATATTTTGCTATTTTTTGCCTTGGTGTCACACCCCAAATTGGTGTCACCCGGTGCGATCCGCACCCCCTCGCTACGCCTCTGCATGCACTAACCTATTGTAACATGTAACATGTACAATGCTACTACAACTCTAGCCAGTTTTTATCAAATTCCCCATACGACAGCTGGGTGTGGCCAAGGCTACATCTACATCCGAGGTGTGGAGGATTGTGTCGTCTGCCCTGTTGGCACCTACCAGCCGGCAGACGTGGGCACTTCCTGTTTGCCCTGCCTAGACGGACACAGCACACTCAAGAATGGAACTGTTGCACTGGACGGTTGTCTCAGTGAGTAAATTTATCGTAGGCCACCTCTGGTTTATTGTAAACACAAGAGTAAAGTTTAGGTATTTACATATATACACACACACACACATATAAATATATATATATATATATATATATATATATATATATATATATATATATATATATATATATATATATATATATATATATATATGTACGTATGTATGTATGTATGTATGTATATATATATATATATATATATATATATATATATATATATATATATATATGTATGTATATATATATATATATATATATATATATATATATATATATATATATATATATATATATATATATATATATATTTATATATATCTCCATACGTATATCCTAGAGTTGTGCAGCGCTGGTACGTCCTCCAGGTCTGGTCTCCAGCCATGTGACCTGTGTGCCAGGGGAAGCTACCAGGACAAAGACGGCCAAAAGTCTTGTAACGTCTGCCCGTTCGGCATGTCAACGTCTCAAAAGGGGGCGGTGTCTATCGGCGATTGCGCATGTATTTGATACATTTATATTATAATAGCTTAATAAGATGTTAGACCGGCACAGTATTTAAAAGCAATAAGTGTAATTTGTTTTAACACAAGCTGTAAAACTATGTTTGTAATATCAATAATACGTAGCCACAGTTGCATTTGTTTTGCACTTCGTTAGGCCGCAATAATAGTTTGTATCATTTGTATTACTAGAACTAAGCCAAGGGAGGTAACAAAAATAATTCAACACACCATTTAAATAACACCTGATTATCTTTCCTGTTCTAAGTTTACAACACGCTGCTAAAGAACGGCACACAAACTGATGACGTGTATCTCAATGGTGACGTCACGAACGACTTTACCCTTCTGGCCAGAGTTAACCTACCCTCTGACCTAACCCTAACCAAGACAAGGTTCAGCCTATCACGTGACCCTGGCGCCGCTGCCATCGGTTCCGGAGATTTTCTGGTCTATATAACCAGTGAACCGTACACAGGGAACTCTAATAAAAAGTAAGTCGATAACTTAATCGTAAATGCATGTGTACTAAGTGTACATATACTTAGTGTGTACATTATTATTACATTGATTTGATCTTCAAATTTACACTTAAAAGAAATATATTAAATATACATTTAAAATTATACATTTTATCATTTTAGAATTCTTCAATTTACTTGTACTAGACCTTAAATTATTTTTAAAAATTAAATTTCGGTTTTCAGACTTAGATTCATATCTAAAAAATACAGTTAGATTGTATACACAAATAAATGTGTGTAAATTGAACACGCTGTATAATGTGTATGTCATGTTTTGATATATTATCTCATCAGACAGTGGTACCACCTAGCTGCCGTCAACACGAATGGTATGTTCACGC